TTTTCCAGTGAGCCATGTATAGGTATGTCTTGCATATCTTGTCTGCTGTTCACAGCAATTTCCAATTAATCTCTGTTCCTGAAGTTCTTAATTTAATTTTCAATAGCAAAAGATATTGCAAAAGGAAATGCTTTAACTGATGCATGAGCCCAGGGTGCAGCTTGCTAGCAATTTTGGTATGAGGATCTCATGCACACAGTAGTTAAGTTGTTAAGCATGTCTAAAGACTGATGGTGTGAAGATGTTTATGTAGTACTGTGGGGATGACTGCTGTGTTTTTCTTGTGGGCTTGACATCTAAACAAAAACCCATAAAAATCTTATATTCCTGCTGATGCTATGGACCAATTTTCTCCCACCCCAAGAGGTAAAAGAAAAGTGACAGTGATGTGAGCCTCCCTGGTTTTATGGTATTCATATGTGATAAAATCCCCAAAGTGCAGCTGATCACAGGATTTGTAAATAAAAAAATGTAATTTGTCTTCCTACAGGTTGGCTTGTGGATACAACTGGCAGTTACACGGCATCATTCCTCCTGTGTGGATTTTCTATGATATTTAGTTCAGTGTTATTATGTTTTGCCAGAATGGCAAAGAAAATGAAGAGGACGCGTTTGAAGTCACTCTCCAACGATACTCACAGCAAACAGCACATCTGGACAAATGGAGCAATAGCTTATTCTGTCACAGGAGAATTAGACCACAAGGATGCTGAGTTTTTGCCTGTGGACACGAACAGCTACAGCAACAGATGACAATCACTGTCAAGATTCAGTACTGTGCAACTACGATGAGACAGAGGAGACTGCAGCATGCTGCAGTGCTGAAAATGATAGTCCTGTGACACAAGGCCAGTTATTTCTGTCATGTTTTGATAGGCTAGGATCTGCAAACAGCATAGGAAGTTGAAGCAATAGTAGATCAAAACTATACTGAGAATAGAGTTGGTAGATAAAAGTTTCAACAGATTTAGTTCTAAAGCAGTATGTTGACTCCACAGGTAACCTGAAAAAATATAATTGGCTATGATCAAAAGAAAACAATAATCAGTCACCAAAGATGAAAAATAATGTTTAAATTATTTAAAAAATAGTATTAATGAAATAGACATTTCAGTGTTCCTGTCTGTTAGTTTTCAGTGGAGTAATCACAGGTGCCACCAGAAAGCCTCTCCATTTTTTAGGCTGCATCTCTTTGCCAATGACTGTTTTGAATGCCAAAGTCATTTTTTAGAAAATCTGACAGAAAGCTGTGATTTATGCTGAAAGTATATCTGAAGCAGCTTTAATTTCTATAGTGTGCCTGAATCTTGTGCATACGTTGCAAGTTCATTTCAAGGGTGGCTTGAGAGCTGCTTTCCCAGTCCCCCTGCAGCAAAATGTTCAGGTGGTTTGGTTGCTGGTGGTTTTTGGTTGGTTGCTTTTTTCCCTGGAAACCTCTAGAGGCTGAATTTCTGAATGTTGACATTCCAGGTATGATCCTCCAGCTGGTGTTTTCTGAGTGGGTGTAAGAGGGATCATGGCTGCTCTGCCATCTGAACATCTCTAGCTTTTAGGAAAAATTAGATCTGCGCAAGCAGATTATTGAGAAGTAATAGCTCACCACACCAGCTATTATTAAAGAGAATGTTGGCTGACAAATTGCTCCTGTGTACTGCAATGGCCAGAGTGTCCCTTTTTTGCATCCAGGAGCTGTATCTTTAGGTGATTCTACTTACTCACTTGTACTGACTGATCAGGTCACTTGTTCTGGACAGAAAGCAACAGCTGTGATTTGCCAATGATTTCCTGCTACTTGTGCTAGGGATATTTACTACAACTGGCTACTTTGTGAGACCTGGAGACTGAATGTAGCTCATAACGCAAATTACTGATGGTCAGTTCATTAAAAATGGGATGCTTCTACATTTCCTTGGTGAATCCATTAAGAGATGGAGAAACTTCACATTCTGAGATGAAGATTTTTTCTGTTTGATGATGTATGAAGCTGTAGTCTATTCATTAGCAAATTGATTGGAGTCCAGATAAGTTTCATTAATGCTGTAATGTTATTGATCGCCTGCAGTACGCTTGGTGTTTGCTGTTGGTGTCCAATTCCATTCTGTGCCTCAAGGGGGAGACCAACGCGGGCTGCTGTTCACGACTTTGACTTAGATAAGAGAACAGTCACAGGGTCATAATGTATTTTATATCTATCAATACTGTGTGTATCAATTACTTTTATTTTTCATGCATATTTCAAATACAATGCATTAAAACTGTTTGACTTCAGCTGTCTGTGCTCAAAGCATTTACCAGTCCTGCTATGCCCCACTATGGTCAGAGCAAGTAGTGTGAATTCCTGCACAGACCGCAAATTAAGAGGTGAGAGTGCCAAAGCTGTTTAAAACTATCAGCACAGCCTTTCTTCAGTTCTGTGTGGCAAATGAGTTTGAGGTCCTATGTTTCATTTTAGTGTACGTTGATAAAAAGAAACAAAAACAAAAACAAAAACAAAACAGTATTTTGTGAGTTGGACACAATGTGCACACTTGGAAGAAAGATGTTATGTGTGTTAGTAGTGATGAAAATATTGTTTTAGATTCCACTACAAATGTTTTGTATTAAAAAAATAGGGAGTAGTGTGGTCTATAAGAGATTATTTCAGCAATTTATAAGTGATCAAACACTCGTTTTACAAAAATTTAGTTGTTTGGTTTTCTTTACCACATCATGATATGTCAACAGTTGTTGGTGCCATAACTGCATGTTATAAAAGCTGGTTGGAATAGTGCTATCACATTTTGATATGGGTAAATAATACAAATCTGGTAACAAATTATTGGCATACGGGGATTGTATTAAACAATTTCAAGATATTTTTTCATAGGGTTTCCTGTTTATAAACATGAACATTCATTCATAAACAAGGCAGTATTTATTGTTTTAAATATCAATTCAGCAGAAAACATCCCATTTGTTTTATACGCAGACATTTTTTGTAGAAAATGGTAGAATCATTTCAGGGTTTCTAGCGCTGTTTCTGCTTTGACCTAAAGGCAAAGGTACCAGAATGATGCTTTCTGTGCGTAAAACTAAGTATAAAATATCAGCCCTGTGGTGAAATTCTCCATCTAAGAAACTCAGAAGGGATGAGGCAAAGAAATGGAAGTAGAATAACTAAGAATACAACCCAAGTTTGCAAATCCTCACGACAAGCTTCTACTCTTTGCTCTGCAGAAACAGAAATGAACTTCTCCATTCTGACATGTGAAATGGATTATAATACTTTTAAAAATCAGTAATATATCTGCAACATTTTTTTCTTTCTTTTTCTTTTTTTTCTTTTTTTTTTTTTTTCTTTTTTCAGAAATGATGCTGTTCATGCTGTTCTCATACAGGGTACAATGGCAGGGCACAATGCGGCAATAGGCAGATATTGGGCAAGTTGTGAACAGAATAACGCTGCATTCCCACCAGCCCTATTGAGCACCAGTGGAGGATATAACCTTGGATGGGGCACTGCATTGCTGAACCTCTCTGGCTGCCCGGAGCTTGGCTGGAGCAACATCTGCCCAAGACAGAAACAGATGGATCCTACTGCAAATGAATCCTGCCTGCAGTAATGCTGCTTTTTGTGCAGCATAGCAGAACTCAGTGCAAGTAAGTGCAGAATATGATTTCTAATTGGTTTTATAGCTGATAATTTTTAGCACTGCCAGCAGTGCATAAAGAACTTTGAGACACTCAGATGCTAACAGCCTTTATGGCCCTGTGGCATCTCCACCATCTGCTCCACAACCAGTGCTGTTTGCAGCCAAGGCCCTGGGCAGCCCCCTATCCTGACGTATGGGCAGCCCTTTTCCAGGAGCACCATATCATCTTTGAGCCCATTCTGCCCCGGCTGCAATGGGAGCTATAGAAGAGCTATGTATGAGGCCAGGTGGTGGAAGTCAGTTGTAGCAGAGAGCCTGATAATCTCCGCGCTCAGCCTGTATGGAGTGGATGAGGAGGCCCTTACCCAGGTGCTGGAGCCCAACCTAGAGCACCACGCAGTGACTTGTGTGTGCCATCATTGTGCAGTTCTGCACTGAAGAGGCCCCTAGGCTGCTGGCCTGACAGGATGCTGAACTGTTATGAAGTAGGAGGACAGCCCCATGGTTGGACAGGGGCCTTCAGCAGCCCTTCAGACTGCATCTTGGTGAACTTCCAAGTACATTGGACACCATTCTTTGTGGAGGCCCCAGACATGCCATTTGTGCTGCCATCCCTGCAGCACAGCAGGAGCCCCCTGAGGAGCCTGGGAAGGGGAGGCAGCAAGTTCCTCTACTCCTGGCCAGGGCAGGGACTGCTTGCTCAGAGCTGTGTTGTCCTCCAAAGATGAGGGCCAGCAGCTGCAACAACCCTGCAGGAGGCCACCCTTCGAATGGCACTTAGCAGGGCTACAGCTAAAGACAAAAACAAAAAACAAATAAACAAAAAAGCCAAAGACTACAGCACAAAGTATTGCTCTTAGTCATTGCACAGCTGACGTTGTTTAGCACAGAGGCTGCTTTTCCCATGTTGCTGATGCCTTCCCCTGCCCTGTCTCAGTGAGACAGCCTGATGGGAAGCACAGCCAAGGGCTCCAGGACCTGGAGTTGTCTCAGTGATGTTTGCTCCCAGCAAAAAGCCTGCTGAAGATCTGAGGGCTTGCTGAGGATGCCTGACAGCCTGGGAAGGATCACAGCTAGGACAGCTGATGCAATCTGACCTAAGGGATGCGTCCATACTGTGTAACATTGTGCTCAGCAATAAAAACTGGAAAGGGTGAATTGAGGATGGACTTTGCCAGGGCTGCTGTTGTTCAGGGCCTAGCTGGACATCAGTCAGCTGGTGGTAAGCAAGCGCTTTTTGCATCACTTGTTTTTCTTGGTTTTCTTTTACTTTTCCCACATCTTATGTATTAAAGTGCCTTAATATAAACCCATGTTTCCCAGTGAACCAAACAGACAAACAGTGGTTGTTTTTATTGTTAAACAACACACAAGGTAACAAACTGAACAAGTCAACACAGTTTTTTTTCCTAAATGACACTTGATATTTGAAAAAACAACAGAAATGACCATGTTAGTATCAGCATGCCTTTCAAGCGGATAGGTTAAATGTTATAATATTATGGTTCTCTTTCCTCAATAGAAAGTGAGAACTGTTTTTCAGCTTAGGAGCTTTATGTCCTGCAGGTACTCATAGACAACTTTCATACCAGTATTAGCATGGCAGCCTAAGGTAGCATGCCTTTTGGCAATGAACAGGCAAGCAAATGCACAATCATCATCTGGTCATCATCTGCAGATTCTGCATCATCATAGAGGAGTGATGCCACCGGATTTTTCAACTGGTTATAACCCTAGCCTTAAAAAGTGAACAAATGCATTTATATTTTCTCTTTAAATGTGCTTTTGTTGTTGTTGAAAGGGATTTGGGAGTGCTTCAGCTTGAGAGGGAAAGTCGTAGCTCACATAATGCACTCAGATATTCTTCATTGTCAGGATTGTATTCATTGGCTTTCTCATAACATTCAATTGCTTCAAGCTTCTCACCATCTAGTTTATGAATGTGTCCAAGTGTACTGAAATCTTCTTCACTTCCTAACCCTCCTTGAATTCTCCTTTCCAACAGTCTCTTCAAGTATTGTTTGATCTTTTTTGCAAAACAATGATTACCATTTTTTAACCCTTCTTTGTAATATTTAATTGCTTCAGATTCTGATTTCTTTTTATATTGCAGAAAACTTCCATAATAGTAGCATATTTCTTGTTTATCAGAGCAAGTCAGAATATTTATCTTCAGTGCTCTCTGAAATGTCTCTTCTGCTTCTCGATACATCTTTGCCTCTGCATACATCCTTGCCAAATCAATTAAGGCACTAAAAAATTTTGGCTTTTGTTCAGCCACTGCTTTGAAATGAGAAATGCAAATTTGAATGAGTTCTTCTATTTGATCTTGAGGTGGATATCTTGTACTGTTTTTCAACTCAAACAGCTTTGTTCTGTAGCAGAGTCCTAGCTGATGAAGCAAAAAGGTAGATTTTGGTGATATTTCCAGGGCTCTCTCCAAAAGTTCCTGTGCCTTGTCCAGTTCTTTTTTCCTTCTGTAAAATTTAGCAGCATACCTCAGGAAATAGGGAAGATCAGGAGTTTTCTGCATTCCTTCTTCAATGCATCTCTCTGCTTCATCAACTTGATCTGAGTCCTGAAGTTTCAAAGCAAGTAATGCCAAAAGGTATGTGTCCATTGGATTCAGTTCCAGTGCACGCTTCAGAGGCTCCAGAGATGAGTTCACTTCTTCACATCTTCTGTAAGAAAATTCTTCCAAACGATACATTGCTATTGCATAGCCGGCATTAAATTCTGGGTTGTCGGGTTCCTCCCTCAGAGCATTTTCAAAGCACTCTTTTGCTCTGTTATAGTACTTTCCTCCAAATTTTAATAGTGCAAATCCTTGCTCAGCATAGATCTCTGGAAGCTGAATCTTCAGCTGAGCAGTATTTGAAAGTTTTTTGCAACTGTTTTCAACTTTATTTATATATTTTTGAGCTTCCTCATATCTACCCATGTGGTAGTAGATCCAAGCGTAGTTTCCCCAGGTAATAAGACTTCTCCTGTCAATTTCATCTGGATAATATTTTTTAACTTCTTCTTCAGCTTTTTGGAGATATTCTAGAGCTGCTTTATCTGAGAGCTGTAGGTGGTATATGTAAGATAGTAGATTGTAATTTGAAATGTTGGGATTTATGAAAAACTCAATCTGATCATATATTGATTCTTCCAGGCTGGCAAGATCTATATCCTCCTTCAGCAAAGTCCATGTAAAATAACATTCTAGCTGCAGAAGGGAGTTCTTCAAGGAATTCTTAGAAACAGTGCTAGAATAAATTAAAGAAGATGGATTAACTTCCTGCTGCTTGTGTTTTTAACCCAAGCATGATGTACTGTAAAAGCAGGCAGTACCTTGGCTGGTGCCACTAGTCAACAATAGCTCATGTAAGCCACAACTGTGGGAAGCTGTAAGTCTAGAGTAATTCTTCTAGTAATTCTCCTTGCCAGTAGAACTGAGAGCACCACTTACATAGAGAAAGGGGTGGTGGTCTGGATGCTGTTAGAGAACGGCTGCTCTACTCTAACACCAGCACTCCTCCAGGCCTCAGGAATGTATTAGCCCTCCATAAACATGGAGACCCTGCTGCCTTTCTGCCTCTGGATTCCTCCATGCATGTGGGGATGGGCCTGGCAGCAGCTGGGGCAGCGTGTTGCGTCAGTTCCGCCTCTTACCACTGACTTCTTGGTTGAATGGTCCATTGTCAGAAAGACTGCTCTGCTTTTTCCTTGTAAAATCAGGAGTATCTACCTGCCTGTATGGTGCCATGTATTCCCAATTAGAAAGCTATGCAGGAATTTGTATTTTTTCTGGGATGAAGGGGAAGTGAGAGCAAGTTCCTGATAAGACCAGTACCTCATCAGAAATCTTTTTTCCCAGGGGAATACCATGGAAGAATGAACCCTGGCTGCCAAACCCGCTTGAAGCATTTTAAATTGTCCCCCTCAAACCAAAATTAAATTTTTTTGTCCAAATTGTCACATCAAGGGGCAATCTAATCCCATCTGGTGGCACGACTCAAGCTCAGATAGATGGACATGTTTGAAGACCATGAAGATCCTTTCCAACCTGCAGGATTCTGTGTTTCTGCGCAAGTGAACTAAGCGATTCTGCATTTCCTGTTGGTTTTGGTGCCTCAGCTGAGTACCCAGAAAACTTCCATGAATTAAAACAACAGTAGAAAGTAATTTCATGAGTAATTTCACATTTGTGAACATGTGTGGGATTTAAGTGACATGTTTCTTTTTAGCTCAGACTGACTACACCATACAGAACTGTAATTTGTTGAATTCTCCCTCTCTTTCTGTCTGGTTAATAGACAGCCTCGCAGCTAACTGGTGACTAGTGAAACAGAACTTGCAACAACATCCCCAAAACAGATTTGTGATGCAGATAAAATGCAGTTCAGTTTAGTATTGTGCATAATCTGCCAGTGCAATTTTCCAAGTTGTCATAAACATCCTAGATTCGCCCTATTTGAGTGTGTTTGCAGGACAGTCCTCAGCAAATGCTATCCCTTTTCTTCTGCTCCAGACTGCAGACCAGAATGATTTTCTGGTCCTCACAGTAGTAGAGAGCAGAAAGTGAATTCTCAGCTGTATCAGTGCCAGCCATTCCCTTGGCTGGTCAGCAGCTGCAACTGCAGCCTGCATTTCATCCAGGAATTGTGTGCACACAGTTTCTGACAATCAACACTGTAAAAGCAGTAATGTTACAGCATCCAATTACATCCTTCTCTTACTTCGATTCTTCCAGTGAATATTATGTAAATTATTCTCCGATGCTTAAGTCCCTGCATACCTTACTGCTTCCAGTTATGCAAATTACAAACTTACATTCCCATAGCATGAGAGTACAGAAAAAACAGCATTTGTAGACCAAGCTGCTCTCTTACCTCATGATTTGCCTTCCTTCTTTCTTTTCCTTTCTCTGCCTGTTTGCCGGTAGCTTTGAAGCCCAACAGCTTCTTCCTGCAGTTGTGAGTTGCCTTTTATGTGCTCTAGCGTGCACGTGATTGATGTGTATGATACTGGGAATCAGAAAGTGAAAGCAAGCTTCATGAGTCTGGGAGGAGCTGTAAGGCAGCCGGCTGGGAAATAGAAACTTATGAGTCACTCTGCTTTTTCCATTTTGGCTTTATGCCACACTTTGACTTGTGCCGTGGAGCCCATGGTAACAGCTGCTAGCAGCTCTGTGTCTGAACTTAACTCCAAATGGCTAGCACTGAGAACTGCCCAGCCAGTACAGCCCGTGGCTGACTGGCTGCTCTGTCAGCGGCAGCTGGGTGTTTGCTGGTGCCTGGGACCGGTAAGGCATGGATTGACTCAAATAAGTGTGAGAGGATTGAAATACTTTGTGGACAGTTTTACATTCAAAAGTGTTTCTTTAGAGCTGTTTACCTTCGAATGGGAGGGTCCAAGAGTGTTTTCTGTCTGGGGACTCGGCCTGGAAACAAATGTTTCCAGCTTGATACACGAGACTGGGAGATGATACTATTGTATCCAGTCCCCAAAGCCAGAAAGTCATTCCAGAAGAACAGACTCAACTACTGGGGATGAAAGGCAGAGGATGGGCGTTTGTCATTTATTCACAACTTACCACAACAAATGGTCAGCCCATCACTACCAAAGATCAGCACCACCAAGACATGGCTGGACTGAGGAGTGGTGAACTGCTTTGCTTTGCTGTGTTTGTATATCTGTATGCCTGCTTGTCTCTCTCTTTCCCTATCATTTATCTTTTACTCTTTCACTTTCAGTAGTAACCATTGCCTAATAATTGTCCCACCTGTAGTGCTTATTAATCGTTATTAGCAATTTAACCAATTTTACATCCAAGTAGAGTATTAGTTATTTAGTTAGTTAGTAGAAAGATCTCAATAAATTGATCAGTATTATTCTGCTGACTCTTCGATGACTCTGTTGCAACAGAGATCCCTGCTGATGTAAGGAGGTGTGACTGAGGATAAAGAAACCCACTCTTTTGAAACCCACTGAGTGGGACAAGACAGCTGGACAGAAGCTGGATGCTGCCAGGGCTTCCTAAAGAGCAGTCAGATACAGTGAATTGGGAAAGCTGAAATTTCATTTGCTTCTGTTCCAGGAGCTTTGATATGGGAAAATCATCATTCTTTTGAAACTGGATATACTTAAGAGAGAATACTTCGTCAAATCAGTTTTGGAGAGGAAGGGAGACATTTAGTAAACTGTACCTTGAATAATGGTGTGACAGTGGTGTTGGAAAAGTAAAGCACTTTCTGTTAAAAAATAACCCCCTTCTGAGAAAAAATATATATATTCCTACCAGCTTGGATACTTTATCTTGTGAAAAACAAAAGTGTCTTTGCTATTATATGGTGAATACATTCTATATATATTATGACAATTGCATGTATGGGAGTCCAAACATCTTGAACTCCAGCAGCTTGGGGCCATGTCCAGTGCCATGGGGAGCCTGTTCCATGCTCACTGCCTTCTAGAGAAGAGCCTTTTCCCAACACACACCTGACCCTCCCCTGACACAGCTCCATGCCATTCCCTCAGATCCTGTCACTGTCACCAGAGAGCAGAGCTCAGTGCTGCCCCTCTGCTCCTCTTGAGCTGTAGGCTGAAGGCTCCCTTCTGCCTCTTCTGCTCTGGACTCAACAAGCCAAGAGATCTTGGATACTCCTTATTCACTTTACTCTCCAGATCCTTTACCATTTCTATAGCCCTCCTTCTAGCATTGTCTGAAAATTTTATGTCTTATTTTCTATGATCTGTCCACTGAAATGAACCCCACAAGTGGCTGGCCACCAGCCTGATGTAACCCCAATTACTAAGACATTTTGAACTCAATCCATCAGCCAATTCTTCACCCATCACTTTATGTTTTTGTCTAGCTGTATGCTGGATGTTCTGACCAGAATGAGAGAAACTGTACTGAAAGCTTTGCTGAGATTTCTGAAATACTACATAACTGGCTTCCCTTTGTCAAGTATGTGGCTAACCTTGTTGTAAAAAGAGATTACGTTTGTTAAGCAGCTTTCCCCCCAATAGCCTGTGTTTGCCGTGACCCACAACAGTATTGTCTTTCAGGTGTTTTTCAGTAAGTCCAATAATAACTCCTTAATTTTATGAAGCACTGAGTGAAACTGGTGGCCTGTAATTACAAGGGTCTTATTTCTTGAAAACTGGGACAACATTTACTAGTTTCCATTCAACTGGAACCAATCCACATTCACAAGACTGCTGAAAAATAATAGAGTTCTCATGATAACATCAGTCAGCTTTTTGAGTTCCATGGGATGAATCCCATCAGGCCCCATAGATGTATATGCGTGCATCTGAAGCAGCAAGTTCAATACACAATTGTTTTTGGCTGGGAGTTTATCATTCACACAATCATGGTCTTCCAGCTCAGGGTTCTGTTGGTCCCAGGCCCCATCAGTGTCCAAGACAGAGGCATAGAAGGCATTAAACATCGCTGCTTTGCCTGCAACCCTGTTTCTGAGGCGACTGTCTTCATCAAGTGATGAAACATTATCTCTGGTCCTGTTTGCTGCAAATGTATCTGAAGAAGCCCTTTTGTTGTTCCTCTACAGCTTTAATTTTGACTGAAATTTGACAACAATCATTTTATCCTTGCTGTGGCAAACAGAATCTCTGTAATCTTCCCCTTTTGCCTGAACTCATGTCCAGTGGCCATACATTTTTCTTTTTCTCTCTAAGCTCTACAAGAAGATCCCTGGACCTTCTGCCCTGCCTGCTTGTCTTCTGACATTTTAGAATTGACCAAGTTGTCTCCATTAGTGCCTTGTCCAGCAGCATTCCTCCTCATCCACCAGACATAGGTTGAGCACTGCAAATCCATGCTTGCACAAACATTCCCCTGGGTGGTAACAGACCAGTGCAATCCTCCAGAGCACACAGAAGAGAGAGCACAAGACACTGATTTCTTGCATCGCTGTGCCTCACTATGATGAAGATGGAGTCTGACTCAGCAAAATTTCAAGCTCACCTTTTTCTTACTGTTTCTCCTTGTTTCTGCAGGAAAAGAGAGGCAGGAAAGAGGCAAAGGGCTCAAGTGACAGAGCATGGTGGGGACCAGTGATGTGCAAGTAGGAGAAAGGGGCCCTCAGGGCCCTCAGGAACCTTCATGAGCCGGGCCCTGAGTACATCTCTGCCACCTTCAGGAGGATCTGGAGGGAAACAATACCAATACAAGAAACTCAGGATTGTGAATGGTAGTGGGGTCACCTAATGTGCCATTTTTCCACCACAGCCAAGATCAACACTGTAGGTTATCACTGGTCTCTGGCTTCATCTTTATTGTTGCTTCTATGAGCACTGATTCCTCATCCTTCTGTTCTTCTACCTCCTTCCCTTTTCCCTAGGTAGGGCCAGCTTTGTAAGAGGAAAAGCTAGCAGCTAGAAAACTAGGACAAATTTACCTACATTTGATCAACAGACATTGGTTAACCACAGGCAAGACTGAGCACACTGTTAGGTTCCTGATCATTTTGGCCTGTATTATGAAAGAGCCGTTGAGGGAGATCTGAGAGGTGTGAGGTGCACTCTCCTTGGAACAAGTGTGCTGGCTACCTGGGCACTGGCAGTTCAATCATCTTGTTGCTGTACGAGTGACTGACGCTGTTACACCTTATGATGCTTGTTGTAGACCAAAACGTGTACCTTAATAACAGTGTTCATGTTTCCTAAGATCCACCATCTATTATACCAAGCTACAGTGCTGTAGAACTAAGCTGGCATGTCATGAGTGATACCACTAGCTGGATCTGTGAAGGCAATCCCTTCCTTCATCTATTCTCCTTTCAGCCCTTTTCTTCCTTTCTTATGTGCTCTGTGTTCACCCACCCCTTTTTCCCCCTGTACCTTGCACTCGAGTTTCCCAGAGCTTTAGCTGTGCTCTGCCCTCCATTTCTGGTTCAGTGCTTTGTTTGTGTTTGTTTTCTGTTTCCCCAGCTCTCACGTGATTGTGAGAGAAAGAGGAAGTGAAAGCAAGCTTTCTCTCTGAATCTGCAAGGAGCAGCAAAGCCTGCCAGACGGAGAATAGAAACTCACGAATCACTCTGCTCTGTTTTCATCTTGGCTTTGTGCCATGTACTAAATTGTGTTCTGGAGCCCATGGCAACAGCTGCTAACAGCTCAAAGCATTGACTTTGCTCAAATGTAAAGCCATCTACGATAAGGAGAGTATTTCAAGTTAGTGTAGCTTGACCTGGTTATCGTACATAAGCAGGATCTCGGGGTCATTCCCCCTCCTGCCTTTGCTGATGAATATATGCATGGTTTTGCCCCGTGCCTTAAGCTTCTATTATAGCAGTGTTGTTTATACACATAACATTCACGTAACTTGGTCCTTTGCTTGCCCTCCTCTATGCTACATCCTCTGCCTCCACTTCCTGAGGGCTCTGCTATCCAACCAGCCCTGTGTTGCTCCATGCTGCCATTGTATTAGTTTGTCCGCAATGGCTTGTGCTACCTGGAGCAGCTGCTTGCTGCTCTCCCTGACAAATTACAGTTTTACACCACAAAGATAAACAAATGTTGAGCAAATCAAATACTGACACCTGACGTATTGAAGCAATTGCTGTCACAATTGTACCAAGCCAAACAACATTTGAGCAGGTGGAGATGAGCTCTAGCAGAGCAGGCGTGACACACCCCAGTCCTGAGGCCATGCAAACATAGTGCAAAGCTGCTTCTGTGAGGGCAGTACTGTTATAGGGCTGTGCGGACAGCAAGAGATGGGACTCAGTACTGGTGCATAGAGCCCTATGGATATAAATCACCCATTTGTAATTAGGCTAAAAAAAAAAAAAAAAGCTTCATAATTAGTGTTTGTGGAATTTGAGCGCCCCTGTTTTGTAGGTAGGGGGCTGTTATTTTTGTATAAGGTAATAAATGTGCTCCCAAGGATGCCTCATGAGACATCTCATGGTGTCTGGTACACATCAGCTGATTTCATGCTCATGGCTTGACTGGGATGTGGCTGTGCCTGACTAGCTACAGGGAGCATGAGGGAGCATGGAGCACCCAGCAGCCTGCAGGAATGGCAGCTCTTGACTGGATCTGATGGGACAGTAGCGGGGTGAAGACACAGACAAGACACAGTAGGTGGTGGAGCTGCGCTGGAGTTTATCCATTCACTAGCAGCCTGCCCCAGGTGCAGGTTTTGCCCAAGGACTGGGCTGTGCTGCAGGCCTGGTGGAAAGCTGACACCTTTTTATTGGAATAAAAACAAGCAGTGCTTCTCTTTGCACAGCAGTGGCTCTCCATAAGCAGGAGCCTTGGTGCGCTTGTCCCAGAGATGCATTTTCTTGCAGCAGCTGTTGGTCACGGTATCTTTGGCATTAAGCAGGGAAATGGGAAAGAGCCTGAGCATGGAGGCTTATCTGGAGTTTGAGGAGGTGCAAATAAGATGGTGATAAAGCAGAAGAAAACATAGATAAACCAAGTTAGAGAGGAAGACTAAGATCTAGTTAGCAATTATATAATCTTAATTTGGGAAACTATCCTTGCTGTAGCTTTCTTGTTTGATTTTGAAAGTACCTTTGGAAAATCTAGTCCATGTGTCAGTGTTGGCATGTAAATATAATACCATCATAGTAGCAAATGCAAGAGATTCATGAAAAGTACATGAAGAAATTGACAGAAACAACTGCCTTCGTATTTAATACAAAAGCTTTACTTACTTGAGTGTTCTGTACATATAGAAGAAAAGGGAATGACTTCAAAAATATCTATGCGTTTTAGAGAGAAAACTCATGCCTGTACAGTTTCTTGCAGCTGATATCTGCTGACAAGGAATTCCCTCCTAGTGACATTAGCTCAGTCAAATAGTCTGAAATGCAGTTTTCTTCAATAAAATAATGTGAAGAAACTATACCATTGTAATAATTAGATCATTTAAATGTCTGGTTTCCATTAAACCTAGTTAGCATCTAATTACCATGCTTGACAACAGCATTGCAGGCATTTTATAATTTGTATTTTCCTCTGAGGAGAAAAGTACCCTGTAATTAATCTTCTTGAAAACCCACGCAAATAGTTCAGCATTACTTTTGTTACCCAACTTCTGAAAATAAAATGTAATCCTGTGAAATTCAGTTCAAGAATAGAAAGAGCGTCACTTTCACTGAGTGTCCAGGACATCTCTGTGTGTCAAAACTAGTGGATGCAATGGTGCTGAAGTGCCCAAGATACCTCTTTTCTTCTGATATATTTCTCCAAAGGCAGCTCGTGTGTGGTCTTAGCACATTCATTGCTGAGAAAGATGAAAGAAAGGGTTATAGACTTTTTAAAAGAGCTCTTGAGAGTTCACCTGAGTACTATTTTGTGGTAGTCTGCTTCTGAATGTGTATTTTACCCCTTACTATTCACAGCATATTTCATCTGATGGTTTAGCATTTAAACTGATTGCATCCTAAAACACTTCTGTCAGGTGGGAAAGTCACGCACAAGGAGGATACCTACAGGTGCAGTGGAGGTAAAGCAATCAGATAACGCTGTGAACTTCCAATTCCTGTGGTGGCCCTCTTGGGGGAGACAGGGCAAAATGGAAACACACCATTACAATACAGGAGGTTACGACTACTTCAGCCTTATATCCCATGTATGTACTTCACTGCAGTGCATACTGTACTGTAGCTCACAGTGATACCTCCAAGCCTGAGCTTTAACCTCATTAACTGAAAATGAGACATGGTTATCAGTTTGCTGGGTAGAAGACTTTAATCCCTTCTCATGGAAAGCTGTAGGACTACTGCTCTCAAGGAGAGGTGCTGACAGCGAGTTAGCTCTGGGTTTGGTTTGTCCTGTGCCAGGCCCACATCACAACCATGTGCTGTGTGGGGCCCTGTGGTACTTCTGAAAGCAAAAACTCCAATAAAAATCTTCACGCCCTCTAAATAGACAGAAACACTTGCTTTCTTGACACATTACTGCTCTGCTACTATGTATTTTATTTCAGGTTTCAGTATTATCCCAAGGATATTACTATGTGCAAGTGATGTGAATGTTTGTACTTCAGGCCTGTATGTGGTTCAAGTTTTGCAAGCATGGCCACACGCCACCTGACCACAGGCTCTGGGACACGACAGATGTTACATGTGCTGCCAGCTCATTGCCTCAGAGCACTGGGACGGACCAGATTGGCAGCAAGCTGCTGGAGCTGTGCACCTGCATGTAATTCAAGCCTGCTTGTATCAGATTTGATATATTTAGATTGTGCTCAACGATGATGGATAGATGATCTGTTCTTTGTGAGAGGATAACGGTGCTGGATGCAACGCATCGAAACCCTCAGGAACGGAGTGCCCGTGGGTGGGGAAGGGACTTGGGGCGGGCTGAGGGACCATCGGGGCAGAAACCTGCGCAATTACGGGGCGAGGGGGGGGCATTCGTGAAATTTCAGTCTACAGAGTTTTTTAAAAGTGAGTTCAGGGGATGGGGGGGGGGTGAAAAATTGCCATGCAGCTGCTGAGAAGCGCTGAATCACGCCGCCCAAGGTCGCACAGCCGGCGAGGGGCGGCGTGCAGGGAGGGCGCAGAGCTGCGGCGCGCGGCCCCTCAGCGCAGCGCCGCGGAGCAGCGCGGCCGCCGCCCCCGGGCGGGCTCCCGCCCCTCGGGCCGCGATAGGCCGCGCCGCATGGCCTGAGCGCCGCCGCCGGCCCCGCTCCCTCCTCCCGCCGCGGGTTCGGTGCGCGGAGGGTTCCGTGGCCGGGGGGAGGCGTGAGGGCCGCGGGACACGCCCGGCCCGGCCGCGCGCCTTCAGCCGCTCGGGGCTGGGCAGCTCCGTCCTCGCCCCGTCAGTGGGCGTCCGCCCCCGCCCTGTCACGCGGTCCCGTGCCGGCCGCGGGGCTCGGCGGAGGAAGAACATAAGCCCGCGGCGGGGCCGCTTTCTTATACGGCGAGCCGTCCTCCCTTGGCCCGGCAGGATGCGGGGCCTGCTGCCTGCAGCCGTGCTGCTGTATGGTGTCGTTGTTCCGGGCGCGTTCGCCGTCGGGAGAAGGAACGTGGACCCCGAGACGAACATGAACATCGTGAGTTGTGGCGCGGGGCGGGGGAACGCCGCTGGAGCCGGGCGGGTTGTAGCGCAGGGGAGAGCCGCTGCAGCCTCTGAACGGCGGCGGTGCCAGCTTGGAGGTGCGTTGCGCCGTGTGGTTCCGGGACGGTGGCTTCGGCTACTGCCGGCCCCGAGCCCCGCACCTCTCTTTCGAGTCCTCCTTCGGCCCCTGATGCCTGCAATCGATCTCTCTTCTGTGACTTCTGAGCTCGCTGTGTGGGTTTCGCTAGAAAAGAGCGTGCTTACAGAATGTACATAATGCTGGTGCCGTCCTCCCGTAGTTGCAGCGGCAGCTGCTTGCCTTTCTGTTCTGTCCTTCCGAAGAGAGACGAACTCTTTATAGAATGCCCCGGGTTGGGAGCGTCCCGCGAGCAGTGCGCTGCTTCTGGCTCCACGCAACACCTCCCAGAATCAAAGCCGGTGTCCAAGCATTGCGTGAACTCGAGGCTCTGTGCTGTGACGCTGCCCTGCAGCACCTGTGCCACGCAGGCTTCTTCCTTCCTTCTCATCCTCTGCATGCAGCTGTGGTACCAGGCGTTGCAGTGCTTGTTTGTTTTTGGAAGATACTATTTTTCTTGAGAGAAAATAATAGAATCAGGGGATGACCTGACTTTCTGCCTGCCATTTCTGTCTCAGAACTTTGCCCTGTTACAAAAATTCCCTTTTCAATGCTGCGATCTTTTGCACTATAACAAAGGTGTGACAGTGTGTGGGGACAGTGTAAGTCCTCCCAGGTCCCTGGGTTAATGCTTGTAATCCAGCAGGCTCTTACCTCGCATAGGTCTCAGAAGAAACCTGTCTGTGGTGGATGGAGGGATGGGTATGGTACACTCCTGCCGTGTCCTGTAATTTCACCTTGCTGTTGGGAAGTAGCCCGGGGTACTCTGAGCGTGTTAATGAATGAAGCAGGCTGGGAGCCTGATTTCTTTCTTCTCTTTTTTCAGAGTCAGATTATCACGTTCAGGGGATACCCCAGTGAGGAGTATGAAGTGATAACAGAAGATGGGTACATTCTTTCTGTTAACAGAATTCCTTATGGAAGAAAAGATCTGGGACAGAGCAAAGGTAAGATTTATTTCTGCTTGGAAAAAAACAGTAAGGCGTGGAAAAGTTCTACACTTTATAAAAAAGGGAAAAAAAAAAAAAAGTTTGACAGAACTTCTGCTCCTACAATCATTCAGAAGAAGATTACAGACTGTAACCTATGGAGTTACGATCTGTGACTAGTGAATGTCATGGCCAGAATGGCTCAGGTGCATTTAGAGTGACTTCAGTGAGGGAGGGGTGAAAGAATTAGAAAGCTTCCTTTTCCTGGCATTTCCATTTTGTGACATTAACACAGTCCCTTTGTTGTTTGGTTTTTGATGGCCTGAGAGGCCCAGATCTTCTGGCAGGGAGAAAATAGGACTAAGACACTTTTAAATATTGATTTAGTGTCCTGAAAAGAGTTTGACTGTACCATTGTAGCACTGTTTCAAACCACATTGAAAAAAAAACCTTATAAAAAAGAATTTTGTTCAAAGTGCCTGAATATTTTCGGAAGTAGGCACAACTTGTATTCCTCTTCTTGTGAAATACAACTGAACTATAAGGGTTACCATTGGGAGCTTCACTAAATAATTACTTCCTGATTTCTGGGGCACAGGGGGAAGAATCATTTTGCTCATTGTAACCACTGAACCTGCCTTTGCAGCAAGTTACAAGCTAGAACAAGTTCTGCTGTTGTGGTGTCATTTTGTATACATAGCTGCTTAAATTGGAAGATATTGTAATGAGAGAAAATAACTTCAGAGCATCTTGAGTAGAATACATTTAAAATACAGTGCAAATTAACATATGTAGCAGATTATTGGCAGCAGTGAGCTCAGACCAGCTTTTTTTATGGATGTGATTTGATGGGGAGCAGGGAGGGTGGTTGGCATAAACCACCAGACGACTCTTTCACAGTAATCTTTACAGTTTATAAGATTGCTTAAAGCCGTGGAAGGAGTGCAGGGGGTGCTCAGGTGATAGAAATGGAGTGTAAGCTTAGACTTATGGGAGCAGTATGAGCAAAGGTTTTTGCAGCGACTGAATGATGGAATGCTCTAAAAAATGAGAGAAATGTGTGTGGAGGAAGAGAAATAGATGGCCTTTGGATTGTTTCTTGCTCTGTGTGCAGAAATAAGTGTGTCTGAATAGCATTCACTGAATTTGGTACTGGTTATACCACCACCCCTTAGAAAAGGTCATACTGACAACTGCACGTGTACAAAAGCAGCTAGTTTGCATACAGACTGCATCTATCCTAAAGACTACCTGAGAACCTTTGAGACAAAAAACTTGCAATGAGAGGTGAAGAATAAAAAAGTGGTGTTTAAGTAATAATTGATTGCCCTTTTGCTGTGGGTGCAAACAAGACTATGGGAAATGCCTCTCTTCTTCTAAAGGCTGGGCAGCAGTCTTGCCTGCTGGTTCTGCAGGTGTTGGGGTGTTTGCACCACGCGCTGTCTTTCACAAGGTTGGTGCATGTATGAAGCCAGTCAAACCTGGCAGATGTCTTTGTCCTGAAGTTTCAGAGAAACCACAGGAAAAATCTGCCTGGAATGTGTTGATTTTTGTTAAATCTTTCATCTATGACATAAGCAAACAGAACTTTCCTGACTTGTGGGAATTCTCCACATTCCCCTTGCCACACCCTCTATCCCAAGTTCATGTTTTGCAAAGTGCCTTAATTTTAAAAACAAGGATTACTGAGCACATTTGGGGAAGTATGATCTCTTAGAAGAATGAAGATCTCAAAGTTCATGTTGATCTTAAGTTTTTACAGACTTGGTATCTTTTCCCAGAAAGATACCAATGATGTGTTACTGCTGACCTAGCGTATGTATGCCATAATTCTTTTGCAATACCTGCTTAATGTGAATAGGATCCCTTGGAGTTATGGATCACCTGATGTTTTGGAACAAACCTACAGTTCCTCTGCTTTAAAAAACAAAAAAACAAAAAAACAAAACAAAACAAAAAAAAAAAAAAAACAAAAAAAATCAAATGGAGTGCATGAAGAAATACAAAGTCAATGATTTATTTTCTTTTTTAGTAGTAAGTAAAAATCTTAGGTAACTGCACTGTACAGGTGAGAATAGCATTGAAATAAGTTCTTCTTTCTTTTGGACAGATTTATATTTTCAAAAACTTTACTTAGGCCACATATAGATTTATTGAAGTTTTAACTGTTTTACTGAAAGGAGTTGTTGATGTGACAGTAAAAGAATGTAAGAGGGATTATATTTCTAAGTGTATCTTCCAGTTAGAATTGGGATTGTGTGTGATTAGAACAAAATGTTGTGTATAGGAAAGGGTATTTTTAAGTTTCCACCCTTCTTTTTCCCTTTTTGGATTTTTAGGACCAAAGGTGATTAAAAATTATTATTGTCGAAGTCAGTTTGTCTTGTGATTGCACAAATCATGTGCTTCAGGAAGTGAAAACGGAACTGGCAGAAGTTCAGAAGCTGGTGGTTAACAGGAGGACAGAATTAAAGCATTGAAGGATTTGAACAGCTTCCCCCTTTTTTGTTAATTAAAAATATATATATATATATGTTTATCTGAGTTTAATAAAAGGAAAGAAAATACAAAGCTAGAATTGGTCATTACTGAAAATAAATTTAGTGTGAGGCATGAAAATCCAGCACACAGAAAGAGATGAGCTATTACTACACTATAGAAAACAGTAGTGAAATTGTACTGCTCTGAGTGTTTGTTTGGCATTGCTGGAGATTTGTTTTTTGGCATGGGCACTATGTCACAATGTTTTTATTTTTCAAATGAAATGGGAAAAACAGGCATGAGAAATCTCCCCTTTCCCAGACAAAAAGGCTGTCGAGGGAGAGAGATGTTGCTGATTTGGGTTTATGGAACTCGCAGTAAACCTTTCTGAACACAGCCTGGTTGTGGCTGTTTCTACTGAAAGATCTAAGTCCACTTTATCAATGGAGAAAGCACTGTGTGAACTTGGGACTGTTGTAGAACGACGTATCATTGGAGGAAGTTCAATTCCTGAGTAATTTCTGGCGTTGAGATAAAATTACCATCTCGGATTTCAGTTATTAAAGCAGGAATAAAGGAGTCATTTTCTGTTTTAGAGTAGGAGTGTCAGGAGAGAAGTTTGCAAAATTTCATGTGGATATTCTCTGTGGTGCTTTAGCTACTTACATTGCTTGCATTAGAAATAGTGTGGCCAGCAGGAGCAGGGAGGTGATCATCCCCCTCTACTCAGCACTGGTGATGCTGCACCTTGAGTATTGTGTTCAGTTTTGGGCCCCTCACTACAGGAAAGATGTTGAGGTCCTGGAGCGTGTCCAGAGAAGGGCAACAAAACTGGTGAGGGGTCTGGAGCACAAGTCTTATAAGGAGCGGCTGAGGAAGCTGGGATTGTTCAGTCTGGAGAAGAGGAGGCTCAGGGGAGACCTCATTGCACTCTACAACTTCCTGAAGGGAGGTTGTGGTGAAGAGGGATTTGGCCTCTTCTCCCAGGAACGAGCAGGACACGGGGCAATGGCCGCAAGTTGTATCAGAGGAGGTTTAGATTAGACGTAAGGAAGAACTATTTCTCTCAGAGAGTGGTCAGGCACTGGAATGGCTGCACAGGGAGGTGGTGGAGTCGCCATCCCTGGCAGTGTTCAAGAGGCATCTGGACGGAGTGCTGCATGGTATGGTTTAGTGCTTGTGGTGGCAATGGTGATGAGGGGGGCAGTTGGACTAGATGATCTTATAGGTCATTTCCAATCTTGTGATTCTATGATTCTGAGGGAAGAAAGGCCTTTGAAACTTAAACTTCCTTATTGTCTACTCACATTGTTCTTTGGGTTCTGCTAAGAGCGTTGGTAACAAAAAGATATTGGTTGGGGCCAATACTGGTACTGCTAATCTTCAAATATTGAAGTTGAAATATTCAAAGTATGAATCTGATGCAGACTTTCAGTCACTCACCTGAATCTTTCTTAGCTTCCTATTAACATGGACTTGAAAGTCTATGATAAATGCTTTGTTTTTCAGGTCCAAGGCCAGCTGTGTTTTTGCAGCATGGTTTGCTTGCTGATGGCACCAACTGGATCACAAACTTGGATTACAACAGCCTTGGCTTTATGCTGGCAGATGCAGGCTATGATGTATGGCTGGGAAACAGCAGAGGGAACACCTGGTCCAGGAAACATATACACTTCACAGTGAAGCAAGAAGAGTTCTGGATTTTTAGGTATCCTCATCTTTGCAGACAAACTAAGTGTGCTATTTGTGAACAAGTTTCTGTCTTTTCCTCTCACCCCGTTTCAGTTGCGGTGTGGATGTACAAGAGGCTTTCTTTCTGTTTGTGCCCTGACACATGTAGAGCAAATAAAGGGAAGTTTTATGGTCAGTGTTGTGTCCTGAGACGGCTCTCATAGATGGTCAGTAGGACAGTAATTGCTTTCAGCAGTACTTGGTGTGATGACAGCACCAGAGTGTACAGTTTCATCCAAAGAAAGCTTTTCTTTATGTCCAGGCAGTTGGTCTTCAGAACAGTAAAGCTCTATGCAACCATTGCACTCTGATAATTTTGTCTTTGCATTGTAGCTTTGATGAAATGGCTAAATATGACATTCCAGCTTCTGTGGACTTCATTTTGAAGAAAACTGGCCAGGAACAACTATTTTATGTTGGCCATTCACAGGGCACCACCATGGGTATGTGAGAAGAGAAGATGCATTCAGTAGAAAATGCTGTTTTTGAAATGATGACAAATTCTATGCGTATGGTTTAATGATGTTTAAAAAAAAAAAAAAAATTAAAAAAATCTACAGCTTCTGTTTTTTGACTGCTTCCTGAAATATTCATCATTAAGAAGAAAATGACTAATGTTCTGTTCTTACTTTAAGTGGGAGGCTGTTGAAATGAGAAAATGAAGTTATAGATTCAGTACAGTTCCTACTGAAATATGTATTTTGATAAGCTACACATAATAATAATGTAGAGTTATGAGATATATGTAGAATAAATCTACCATTTCTGGAATATTTACTGTATAGAAGTTCTGCATCAAGTACTTCTAGGCCTGCAAACAAAAGAAGACTATTGAGTTGCTCAGCATCAACTTTTCATTTTCAGAAGATAAGAAATCCTTCTGATCTTACAGAAAATAGTCACACTATTGATCTAAGAGTTTTGCACACATCTTAGATTTTGTAAAATTACCTTCATAAGAAATTCTTGTCTGTTGTGTTTCAGTGATGATGTTTGTTAATTATTCTCTTATCATTTGCAGCTTTCATTGCTTTTTCAACTTTGCCAAAGCTGGCCAAAAAAATAAAAATGTACTTTGCCTTGGCACCAGTAGCTACAGTCAAGTTTGCCACTAGCCCTCTGACAAAGCTGGGAGCGTTTCCTGATCTGCTTATCAAGGTTTGTTTTTTCATGTTTGTATTTTAACCCAAAGGAAGAGTGTCTCTGGCTGAAAACAGTATAACAAAGAACGTTAATAGCTGTGGATTAGAGATTAGTGTGTTCCACAGGAACACTGGGCCAGTTTTTCCACAGTAATGCTATGCAAGTCAGCAGTGACTTCTCTGGTTTTACTACTGTCTAATGATACAATTTGCATTGGTGGTGTTGTGTACCTTACAAGTACAACATCTTAGGTGGAATAAAATAATGGTTGTTGTGGTTACATATTTCTGGAATTCAGGCTAAAGAAATAATGCAACAGTTCTTCTGTTTTAGGAGAGTCATGTGATAGCTTTAGATACTATTTTTGAATTGTGATGAACTTTAACAGATTTATTTCACAATGACTATTAAGTACAGGAGGAAGATCCATCAGAGGGTGATGATGTGTAGCAACTTTATTTAGATGTTATTAGTCATCTTCTGGAGTTTGTCTTTCACCATTAATAACAAAGGGAGTGTAGGCAGACTGGCAGGCTGCAGTCAGCGCCTGGAGTCAAACATTGTGAACACCCTGCTGTGTGTCATTTTTAATGATCACTTCTTTATACCACCTGTGGCAATTCCCATGCAGGCCTGGTTGTCCTCGGAGATAAAACCTTGTGCTGGTTTAGTGCGTCCTTGTATGCATTACTTATACCTGCACCAAAAGCAGCTAACATAAAAAATGAACTTTATGTGAGTAGGAGTAGCTGAGCAGTGCCCTCTGCAGATGCTCGTGTTGTGCGTGACTCTCAGGGTGACTTGCAAAAAAACCAACCAAACAAAATAAACCAACTGGATTGCACAAATACTTGAGAGCCACAAACCTGTGGGTCAGTCACATTCTTAAAAATGCTGTATCACTTTCTAAGGAAGTGCTGAGTGGGCCACTTTAAAATTTTGGAAGTTTTAAAAATACTAACAAGAGGAAGTAGCCACAACAGCTCATGCAACTTGGTTTTTCTTGCAAGTTCCTCTCTTCAAGCCATGTAAGTGCAAGGCCATTTCACATTAGCAGGTGCAGCTTAGCCTCAAATGATTCTGATGACAAGAAGCTCTACAGTACTCCTTTAAAATATTGAATTTAAAAATGAATTTGAGAGGAGATTCGAAATTGCATCATTGTCCCAGATCCCATATACATTTTGTGGGTGGTAATTCACTGTACTGTTTGTAGCAGAATCACTAACCCTGACTTTCCCAAAGGACTGTAAACAAGGTTGATAAGGAGGTAGGTGTTCGGTTTTTTTTTTTTTTTCTTCTTTTAGTATGACTTACCTGTCACCAGTGCAAATGGAAATAATTACCTTAAGGATTTTTAGTATTAAAACTAAAACCAGGTGATTCAGTTCAGTTACATGTCTGTGCTATGTTTGTTATTTCGTAGAACTTGTTTGGAAAGAAGCAATTCCTTCCTCAGAATTTTTGGCTGAAGTGGCTTGCTACCCATGTTTGCACACACAGAATACTTGATGACCTTTGTGGCAATGTATTCTTTCTTCTGTGTGGCTTTAATGAGAGAAACTTGAATATGGTATGTTTTGATGTCTTTTAACAGTGAAGTTATTGCAAACTCTTAACACAGCATTGACTATATCACTGTACCAATTGTTCTTTACATGTAAATAGAAAATAATGCCTTTGTTATGCAAAGCATACATGTATATATTTACTTGGTGTAGATGTAATTGTCCAGTTGGAATGGATAGAATTCGCCTTTTTAAAAAGATACTGAGAAACTAAATTATTTTAGGTATTTTGGAGCAGTAGGTAAAAGAAATGAATGTGATGGAGCAGGAATGGCATTCATCTTTGAAAGATGAGAGGAATAAAGATATCGCTTTCTACCACTTTCAGTGAAACTTAAAATTTTCTGGTCTCTTGGTGGACATGTGCAGTTGTTTTTTCTGGAGCCAATGTCCACCCCTGCTGATGACTTCATCTCTGGTCCTAGTTGCACAGGGTTTGTCCATATAACTTTTTGTTATCTAAAAGCTTGTTCATAGTATCATAGAATGGCTTGGGTTGGAAGGGACCTCAAAGAACATCCAGTTCCAGTCCCCCTGCTGCAGGTGGGGTTGCCAACCACTGAATCAGGCTAGTCACTAGATCAGGCTGCCCAGGGACCCATCCAACCTGGTCTTCCCCACCCCCAGGGATGGGACATCCACAGCCTCTCTGGGCAGCCATGCTAGGTGCTAACCTAATAACCAGCAGAAGCTGGTATCAGATTACCCATCAGTAGAAGGAGGCAGAGGATGTCTTTGGTTGGAGTGAGATGGAATTAGTGTTATTTTTGTCACTGCTCACCATGTGTGAAAATGCATTTTGTATGTCAACTCAGGGGTGCAGCTCTTTTGATATTTTCTTGCCCAAGACGTATGTATTTGTCAGTATTAAAACTGTATATTTTTAATTCCAGGATCCTAAGTTTCCCCTGGGTATAGGATTCTTTTAAACTGAAGTTGTGTGATGCTTTGAGTCATTGTTAGTTGACAGCTACTCATTCAGATGTAGAGCGATTTTGATTTTTCTCTGAAGATCCATGTAAATATTTAATGTCTTCCCAACTCTTACAATTACAGCACTTTTTGAAAGGTGCTCTAACTATGTAAGAATAATTAGGTATGTCATTATTACGTTTAAAAATGAGCTGTAAGTTATGCAGTCAACTACAGTACGTATGAAACCTTAACCTCATCTCTGTTTGTATGGTGCTTGTGAAGTGTTTTCTTTAATTTTTATTTTTATTTTTTTAAAGAATAGTTCTAAGAGGAACTGTCAATTTTGTGTTTGTTCTAGAAGAAATAATGGGTAGATCTTTTGTGCTGTGAAGTGTAAATTGTGTTAATTATCTTGTTGCAGAGCCGTGTGGACGTGTACTCATCACATTGCCCTGCAGGGACATCTGTACAAAACATGATCCACTGGAGCCAGGTAGTTATCAGAATCTAAATTTCATGACTCTAGCTTGCCTGTGGAGTACCGACACCCCCTAATACTTAAGTGGAATAAAATTTCAGTGTGTGTATGTAGCATGCCTTGATGAAATTATGGAACTGCTAATAATCAGAACAGCAGCTGTTCACTGCAGCTGCTTTGATATTGACCTTATGGTGACTGAGCCCTCCTCCCTATCTCAGTAAAAGCATGCTGATGTTAAGCAGTTTAGGCCAGTAAACAATACAAGTGGAATGACTTAACTCAGTAACAAATATTTGCTTGCCTTTTCAGCAAGCCTTGTTTTGACTAGAAGTTATATTTTTAACCAGGGAAGAGTAGCTTTATATTCAACCATATTATTTGGTTTTATTTTGTGGTGTTTTTTTTTGTTTTGTTTTGTTTTTTTTTTTAAATTTTTTTAAATATATTTTGTACTTCACCTCAGAGCACAGTTACCTCATGCCTATGATGCTGCTGTGCTGCTCAGCAGGCCCAGCTATATGCTGGCAAACAGGAGGAGTTTGTCATGGAAGCAGTGATCATTGCTGTGATTGATCTTGTAGGTGGACTTGTTCATCCATTCAGAAGTGATCTGTTGCACTGTAAACAGTAGTTGAGTGTTGAACAGAAGGAAATTTGTGAATGCTCTTTTTTTTTTTTTGCTTTTTTTTTTTTTTTTTTTTTTTTTTTTCCAGCGAGGGGAGATGGTGTTAAATCAGAATAGACTTTATTATAAAGGTTCACTGCTGTATTCATGTAGGTTGCCATGAAGGTAATACCTTCTACTTATTTCCATGGAAATGACGAAAGATGCAAGAAGTACAGTAACACTATCTGATAGAGCCAATTTTCTGCTGTTTTCCAACATAGTCACTACCATTAGCTATGCATTTTTGCCAGCAATTAACAAGAGCATGCATACTGCATTTGTAAACATCTGCATCAGTGGAGGTGACACACTGTTACTGTCACTGCTGAAATGTACCACCCACTGCCTCACTGTGTTCACATCCTACTGTTTGGTCTCCAGAAACATTCAGCAAGCATCAAGGGATGTCGATAGGTGCCATTTTTTTCTGTGTGGAGGAATTCAGTGATACATCTTTGCTTCGGGTACCATTGTGTCAGACTGCTCCTCTGCTGCTGTCTGTCTCTCAGCAACAAACAGTAATAGAATACTGGCAGAAGGTTCAACCTCTGCTTCTGTACCAACATCTGACTCTGACACTGTGGCGCAAAATAATTATAGGGGGCATTACTTTTGGAGCAGACCTGGTACATTTAAACAACTATGCAACTGTTTCAGAAGTAAGCATGAAGTTGTCACATCCTGGCTTTGGATACTGAAAACTGTTTTTCTTAGTCTTTCCTACTGTTGTTACGACAGTCGGTGGTCTGTTGGTATTCAATCTTAATGTTTCCAACTCCCAAGATGTGAGGCAAAGGAGTGATCCTTGTCCTTGTAAGTACTTCGCATTTCAGTGTCTCATGTGTGAGCTGCCTTTGCCAGTTCTCCAGCAGATAGTGCTTTTTTTTTTTTTTTTTTTTTTTTTTTTTTTTTT